CTTTGTCTGCATCTGCACCATCTGGTAGCCCTTCACAAACCAGCCTTACTTCCTTACTTTCATCCAATGGTCAGCCCACTGGTATACTTGGATTGTCTTAGTCTGCATCTGGACCACCTGGTAACCCTTCACAACCCAGCCTTTCTCTCTCACTTTCACCCAATCCTCAGCCCTCTGGTACACCTGGATTGTCTTTGTCTGCATCTGCACCAACTGGTAACCCTTCACAACCGAGTCTTACTCCCTCACTTTCACCCAATGCTAAACCCTGTGGTAGACCTAGATTGTTTTTGTCTGCATCTGGACCACCTGGTAACCCTTCACAACCCAGCCTTGCTCCCTCACTTTCACCCAATGCTCAGCCCTCTGGTACAGCTGCATCTGGAACATCTGACCACAATAGCCAAAAACCTCAGGCTCCAAAAGTCTGGTAAGTATGGAAGTGTACTGTTTATGAAGGTTTTGTTGTAGTTCGTCAACTGCCAGAGAAGATGGCAGTCGAGTCAGATGAGACGGGAGTGGGTGGGTTGCCTGGGTTACCATTGGAGATGGCAGAAGGCTCCCTGAGAAGCAGCAGGCCTCAGAGCCAGATGCTGAGCAGGGCTCATCTACTCATGCTCAGGCGGAAAGACAGCTGTTTGCGGGGGGCTGAGCTGAGTGAGGGGGAGGAACAACTGGGCCCTGTCCTAGATGTATGTATCGCAGAGAAGTGCAGAGAGGAGAGCAATGCAGGACTACTTTAACCTATCCATGACTCCATGCAGAAAAATAACAAGTTTTGGAGGAAGTCCTTCAGAGAACATCACTACTTATAAGCTGTTTGTGTCAAGGTTCCAAACGATGAACCCAACCAAGTCAGCGAGATGAAATGATCACATCTCTTTTAAGCATAACTTTATTGAGTACATCATTTTGGCATGCATGAAGCAAAACCAACTCTAGCTAGTTCCCATGGTTTCGTCTAATTAAAGAATGAACTCTTCCCTCCCCTCCTTCAACCAGGTCACATTGTCCAATTAGGTGTTCTGATGTCTCTATGGCAACTCCTTCCAGCCTTTGCCAAATATCTGTTGGGGTGACCTTGGTTCCCACAGGACGATTTCTTCTTGTTATCTGGGGCAGTATTCCAAACCTCTTCCCCCTTTCCCCCCCATAGTCTGTGGCAAGCTGAGAAATGAAAAGATGGCTGCAACAACAGGGCATTGTTGTGGCCTGCCAGCAGCCAGTGAAGCTGGCAGCAGATTTGGACAGTGAGGAGGTTGGGGAGGAACCTGGGCCATTCCTTGAGTCTGGGGAAGGCTCTGATAAGTGCTCTGCATTAGAGGCAGAGATGGGGCCAGGGCCACCTGCCAGTTATCAGCTACCTTTGGAGTCAGACATCAGTGAGGCAGAAGAACAGCTGGATCCTGTTCCCAATGTGTGCATGCACGGAGCTGCCAGGAGAAGGGAGCAGCTAAGGAACAAGGGGTGACTTGGGAGTAAAGCCAGAGGTGGACGGTTGACTGTCTCCTCACATAGGGAATAAAAGAGGTGTGAAAGGGGAGTGGGGTTTTGCAGGAGATAATTAGTTCATTTGGGTGAACATCTGTTCCTGCATTCTTGCCAATTCTTGCTACAGTGTGGCATCTGAAAGATATTGGCCTGGCAACTCTCCAAGCCTGATAAAGGTCTGTAAATGTGAAATATCTTGAAAGACTATTAGCTGGGACTTTGCTGGAGAGGAATTCACTGTAAACTAAATAAAAGGGGTTTATCGGGACGAGGAGTCGACTACGTGCTGTTGGGGAAGCCTAGGTCAAAACAGGCACATTTCAAAACTGACAGTCTGTTTCAGTGGGTAGTTTAAAAAATGGTAGTTCTCATTTAATGTCAACACTGTTGCGCATGTTTGAGGTTTGGGCTGAATGAGGACTATCATGGGTCCACATCATTGCAGTTGTTCCACCCTCCCTCAATCATGTGAACCCCATCTGGGACCTTTGCTGTTACCTTCTGACAAGTGAAGTCAGTGGGGAAGCCGGCAGGAAGTCACCAAAGGCAATCCTGTGATGTTGGGACACAGAGTGGCGTTCGCCTAATGATGGCAACTTGAACTGTTGCAACTGCAGTTATAAGTTGGCATGAAGACATGACATTGTGTGTTATGACCGTGTAACTTAGCAACAGAATATTTGATCCCAATTACCATTGGTAAGTGAGGATAATCTATATTGCTGATTTGATTCCCAAACTCTGAAAGTTTCACTCAGTTTTCCTTAGGAATTATTACTTAGAATGTCTTTGCCAGTCTAGTTCTTCCAAACAACACAAGGATGTTTTATTTTTTAGCAAGTAAAATGCCAATAAGTGCATATATGTAGGATTGATATGGCTGCAATTGCAGAGGATGGAAGAGTCATATAAAATTATGTATTGCCTCATTTATATCTCTTGCCCCTTTTGGAATCATCCAAAGGCTGCTCTGCAGAATATTTTAGGAATGAATCAATTCAGCAAGTATTGGAATACAATTACAATTATTTACCATCATTGTGTTTTTTAAGCATTTAAACAATACTAATTCCTAGTAACATCCACCATAGAATGAACACTCCAATCATTTAGCACTGAATTACTTAATTACATTTCTGTTTTTATTTTTACAGGTAATATAATCAAAGCATCTCAGTAGGAAGATGTACCCCAGTGAGTATGACAGATACGCTTTGTTTTAACACAGATGCATAGTATGCAGATTTCTCCTGGGACTTTACACCAACATGTTCTCAAATACATAGATCAGGGGTCCCCAACACCTGGGCTGTGGACCAGCAATAGTCCACAGCCCTCCAGGAACCCTCCAGTCTATGGAAAAACTACCCTCCATAGAACCACTCCAAAATGTTTGGAGGTCCAACACCTGGGCTGTAGGCCAGCAATAGACCATAGCTCTCCAGGAACCCTCCAGTCCATGGAAAAACTCCCCTCCATAGAACCGATTCAAAACATTTGGGGGCCCTTGTTGTAAATCCGTGATGGTGAACCTCTGGCACATGTGCCAGAGATGGCACGCAGAGCCATCTCTGGGCGCACAAGCCGTTATCCCAGTGCGCACTTCCCACTGGCCACCTGTTCTTCAAGTCTCTGCCACGCATGCGGGGGGGTGAGGTATGTGCGGGGAGTTGTGCATGCATGCGTGGGTGATGGGGTGCAGATGCAGGCATCGTACACATATTCATGGGGGGTGGGGTGCACATGTGGGGGTCATGGGGGGTCATGTATTGCATGCACAGGGGTGGGGCACATGCACGGGGCGCATAGGTTGCATTTTGGGTGTGTATGTGTGCATGCGCTTTGGGCACTTGGTGTCAAAAAGGTTAGCCATCACTGATGTAGATTATTGGAATCAATGTCACTGAGGATAAGAGGAGGTTGAAGGCAAAAGTCTGAAAAATTAGTTGCCTAAATATGCCTTTTAATGCCAATATTTCACTTTCACTTCTCCCCCCCCCTTTTTTTTTTTAATAGATTCACCAACTGCATTTGTCCAGAATAAAATCCACAGACCCAACACTTTCTCTTTCTGGCTTCCATAATTTCTTCCTAACGTTACACCAAAGGGAAAACGCTACTTTCTTCTGAGAAGGGTTCCAGGAATGTTTCTTTTTGTTGATTTGAGGACACTTTCTTCTTAATTGGGAATACTGGTTAACGCTGGTTTTCTCTAAAAAAAATACTTTTGCAAATAAATATGTTCAGCATTAAAACGGAATGTTGACTTTATCATTGTGCTCTGGAAATTATCATTTTTTCCCAATATTCTAATGAAGTTTAGGCCACATCAATGTTTAGTTGATTCTAGTAAACAAAAATGTGGTCAAAAGCCATTATCTAAGCATAGTTTGAGCTTAATGTCACAAGCATATTATACCATGGTTTGGTTATTTTTCTGCAAATCATAGGCTTATAGGCTCTTATAGGCTTAAGAGTGGTCTAGGGATATTCTCAACTCTACCTTGAACTACTTAATAAGTTTCAGATTATAAAGTTCTGTTTCCTTTGATTTCAGAAGTGAATAATTACATTCTTATTTGATGTCCAGTTGTTCATTCTTGATTCATAGGTCAAGAAAAATCTATGTACCCTATCAGGTGTAGGAGAAGAAGATATGGCTTGAGTTTAACAGTTTCTCCTTTTATTGAATAACAATAATTCAGTGTTTCATGGTCTAACTCCAGTTTTCATGAAAATGTAACCTCACCTTTGTAGATATTTGTGACACTTTCAGATATTTCAAAAAGTCTTCTTTCCATCCATCCATGATCCCAAACACCTGGGATATTGGTGAGTCTGCATGGGACTTAGAAATAAGATCTTTAATCTTGGAAGGTTAAAATGGTTGGTTCATTTGGTGCCCATCCCATTGCCCCAAAATGCAGTCAATCCACACACTTCATGTGTGAGTTTGAATCATTGATGGGTACAATAACAAAAGCAATAGCAATAGCACTTAGATGTATATATGCTTTCCCATAGCAATAGCACTTAGACTTATATACCACTTCACAGTGCTTTACAGCCCTCTCTAAATCATTTACAGAGTCAGCATATTGCCCCAACAATATGGGTCCTCCTTTTACCCATCTCAGAAGAATGGAAGGAAAGCTGAGTCAACCTTGAGCCTCGTGAGATTCGAACTGCCAAATTGCAGGCATCCAGCAGTCAGCAGAAGTAGCCTGCAGTACTGCACTCTAACCACTGCACCACCATGGCTCATAGTGCTTCAAAGCATTCTCAGGGTGGTTTACAATGTCAGCCTATTGCCCCCAACAATCTGGGTCCTCATTTTACCAACCTTGGAAGGATGGAAGGATGGAAGGATGGAAGGCTGAGTCAGCCTTGAATTACGTCAGGATCGAACTCTAGGCTTTGGGCAAAGTTTGCCTGCAATACATCCTTCTCACGGCAATAAGCCTGATTTGTATTCTGCATAGAATAAGAATAAGAAGAATAAGAATAAGAAGAACTTTATTGTCATTGTACAAGTACAATGAACTGTGGATGCACCTCAGCAACTGTTCGCAATACAATAAAACCAGAGCACTTAAACATGAAGATACGAAAAATAGATTACCCACATCTCCATTTGCAATTAGAGAGTACAATATCTACGAATATACACAAAATATACATCCAACACTGACTGTGATGCTTTGCCAAGTATAATACACAAGAGATGGATTGTACTGTAATATGTTATTATACATCTGAATGAGATATTGAGATTTCACATCTTTTCACATCTTAGTAAGGTAGTGACTTTGTGTTTATTTGTGGTTCGGATGGCCCAGAGAAAGAAGCTATTTGTTAGTCTAGTGGTGTGAGATTTTATTGATCTAAAGCGCCATCCAGACAGCAGCAGGTCAAAAAGATAATTGCCAGGGTGTGGGGGGTCTTCTATGATGGCCTTGATTCTGCTCTGGCAGTGGGACCTGGCTTAGTCTTCCAGGGAGGGCAGAGGGCAACCAATGATATTTTGAGCTATGTTTATCACCCTGTCTACAGTTTTCCTATCCTCAACTGTGGAGCCTGCATACCACACACGCAGACAATATGTCAGAGTGCTCTCCACAGAGGCTTTATAGAAAGCCAGCAACAGCTTCTTATCCAGATTGTTCTTCCTGAGAACCCACAGGAAGTGCAGCCGCTGCTGAGCCTTCTTCACTATGGCCTTGATGTTAGGGGACCAGGAGATATCAGCTGAGATATGGGTGCCAAGGAATCTGATCATAGGGACACTTTCCATTCATTCTCCATTGATGACGAGTGGGGCGTGGTCCTGTTCATGTTTCCTGAAGTCCATAATCAGTCCTTTGGTTTTATGGACATTCAGTGACAGATTGTTCTGTGAACACCAGACAGACAGGTTCTCTACTTCTGCCCTATATGCCATCTCATCCTCTTCGGAGATTAGACAAATCACGGTCGTGTTGTCTGCAAACTTTATGATGGTGTTTGTTGCATGGCTTGGTGAGCAGTCAAAGGTGTACAAGGCATATAGCAGGGAGCACAAGACACAACCCTGGGGGGAACCAGTACTGAGTGTAACAGTGGAAGAAAGATGGGGGCCAAGTCTAACAGACTGTGGTCTGTTTGTCAGAAAGTTCTTAATCCAGGAACACATGTGGGTAGGGACCTGCAGATTATACAGTTTGGTTACTAGTATATCTGGGATGATAGTGCAGAGCTGTAGTCCACAAACAGCATCCTCACCTAGCTCTGTTTGTTCTCCAGATGACTCAGCGCTCTATGAAGCGTGATGGCCACAGCATCCTCCGTAGATCGGTTTGCTCTATAAGCAAACTGAAGTTGATCAAAGGAGGGCGGAAGGCAGTCTCTGATGTGCTGTGAAACTAGTCGCTCAAAAACCTTCGTAATGGAGCTTGTTAACACTATAGGCGTTATATAGTCATTGAGAGTGTTTATATTTGTTTAATATAGTTTATATATAGTCATTGAGAGTGTTTATATTTGTTTTGGGGGGGAACGGGGATGATGGTTGCAGCCTTCAGGCATTGTGTGATGAGGGCATGTGTTAAAGATAGATTGAACAGCTCTGTAAGTATTTCTACCAACTGGTCAGCACATGCTTTAACTACTGCACCAGGAATGCCATCAGGCCCTGCAGCTTTCCTGGGATTTACTGCTCTCAGTGTTTTTCTCACCTCATGCACCTGAAGAGAAAGAAGTGCAGCGTCGTGGTCCTCATGAGGCAGTATGTCTAGGTTCTTGGTGGTCTCAAAATGTGTGAAAAAGCTGTTTAGCTCTTCTGCTAGAGTGCTACTGCTCTCGCTATTTGTTAGGCCCTGGCCTTTATAGTTGGTCAGGGCCTATATCCCCATCCACATCTGCTGTGGGTCACTGTCAGTAAAGTGGCCCTCAACCTTCCTCCTATACATCTCCTTGGCATGTTTGATGCCCCTTCTCAGCTCAGCTCTGGCAGTTTATAAGTGTTCCCAAGGAAGTATGATATTTAATTGAAAAGAAATGTTAAAGATGTTAAGATTTTAGTGAATATTAATGATAGAATTGAATTGGAATGGAATGTGTGTTTTATTTACATATATATTATGTTACACTATATATATATATAATATTTTCCTTTTAAGAATATAGTGTCTATTTTAAGAATGTACCAAGCAGAATTCAATTGGAAGTGATGTATTACATTGAATGTTATAATCTTAAAGGTATAAGAATTTGAATGGATAAAATTAAAAGATATAAAGATGTCATACTCCAGTTAGTAACTACAGGGGAAAATTTGTTTAATGAGAAAAGATAATATGAAATTGAAACAGGACAAAATAAAGTTGAGAAAATTAAAGAGGGGAAAAACTATGTAGAAAATACGAAACAGTAATAAGATATGGAATAGAACATAAAAATGAACATGAAATTGAGTTTGTGTCTGTATGAAGAACGTGGGACCATGCTATTTCAAAAAAAGATGTTTTATTTGTATTTTGTTTTTGTGAAATCCCAAATAAAATTTTCAAAAAAAAAAAAAGAAGAAGAAACTAGGTATAAAAGCCAGGCTTACTACTGACCGAGAACATAGTGAAATGGTGGGTAGTCTCTGTACAGGGGTGGTTCTGACCAGTTCTGGAAAACTGGTAGTGGAAATTTTGAATAGTTTGGAGAACCGGCAAATACCGCCTCTGACTGGCCTTGCCACCATCTATTCCCTGCCTCCCAAGTCCCAACTGATTGGCTAGGTCTTCTTTTGTTGCCCTGCATAGGAGAACGGAGCTGTAAAGCAGGTTAGTGGGGTGGGGAAGGAATGGGATTTTTCAGTAACCTTCCCCCTGGAGTGGGGTTGGAATGGAGATGTTACAGTATCCTTCCCCTGCCACCCCCACAAAGCCATGCCACGCCACGCCATGCCACGCCTACCAAGCCATGCCCAGAGAATCCGTAATACATTTTTTTGAAGCCCGCCACTGTCTCTGTGCCTTATAACGTCAATCAATAGTATATGATGAACAAGCATTCAAGAGATCTAACATGGCCCAGCACACAGTATGGAAGCAACAAAGGCCACTGAATAGGTATTTGGATCCTGGAATGCGTCTATTCCAACAAAGGTCAGATTAGTGCAAGAAATTGTATTTCCTGTGACACGCTCTAGAAGGAAGGAAAAGAAAATGTACTTTGGAAAAGCAGAATAAAAGGAGTTTTGACACTTTTTGAGCTTGATGTTGGAAAAACTGCCTGAGAGGACTATGGGCAGCCCAGAAAAATCAACAAAAATGAACAGATTATCCAAAAAAAAAAAAAAAATCAAAGCAGAGTTCTCACTTGAGACACAAATGACTAGGCTTAAATTCTTCTACTGGGACCCATGTTAAAACCTTTCTCAAATGCTAGGAATTGTGAAAGGAAAGAGAAGACCAGCAGCAAAGGGAGTGTAGTTGATTTCAGCAATGAGTACCACATTGTAAGATCTCAACAATCAAGTTAGGGACAATTGTCCGGGAGAAACTCTATCTATATGGCTACTTAAGGTTGACACTGACTTGATGACAGATCTATCTATCTATCTATCTATCTATCTATCTATCTATCTATCTATC